ACTAGGAAAGCAGAAACTAACTAATTAAAATATCTAACACACCCTCCCTTAAACTGATAAGTCTATGACTTTCAGCTTAATCACATCAATCACAAGAGCCCTCCCCTAACTTGCAAACTCCAAGTAGCTTCCTTAATTTTCTGAAAGTTTCTAGCTTAAGGGGTTTGGTAAAGATATCAGCAGCTTGGTCCTCACTTCTGCAGTAGACAACATCAATGACTTTATCCTTTGTGAGATCTCTCAGAAAGTGAAATTTGACATCTATGTGTTTGCTCCTTCCGTGCAATACTGGATTCTTTGAAAGTTTAATTGCCAAACCATTGTCACAGTAAATTGGAATTGGTTCTTGCTGCGGGAAATGAAGTTCAGCAAGTACCTTCTTCAACCAAATTGCTTGAGTAGCACACACAGTTGCAGCAACAAACTCTGCTTCTGTGGTGGATAACGTAACAATTGGTTGCTTCTTGGAGCACCATGAAACAGCTCCTGATCCAAGAATAAACACATAACCCGAAGTGCTTTTTCTGTCTTCTTTATCTCCAGCAAAGTCACTATCTGTAAATCCAATTAACTCTGACTTTCCTTCTTTCTTGTACAAAATACCATAATCAATAGTACCTTGCAAATACCTGAAAATTCTTTTAGCAGCCAACAAATGAGTCTCTTTTGGGTGCTCCATGTACCTGCTAACAAGACTAACATAATACATTATGTCAGGTCTGGTGACTGTTGCATACATTAAACATCCTACGATCTGCTTATAAAGAGTGTTGTCGATTTGCTTTCCAGTAGAATTCTTCTCCAATTTCAGTCCCAATTGTGCTGGTGTAGTGACAGAATTGCAACTTTGCAATCTGAACCTCTCTAAAGTTTCTTGGACATATTTCTTTTGTGAAATAAAAATTCCACTGGCAGATTGCTTAACTTCAATACCGAGAAAATAGTGCATCAAGCCAAGATCAGATATATCAAACTCGGTCATCATTGATTTCTAAACTTTCAAGTATGCAGATCATTCCCGGTATAAATCAAATCATCTACATATAAACATACATAACAGCTTTTTCATCTTCAATTTTTTGTATAAAGTGTATGACTC